CGCCTGCCACAGCTAATGGAACAGTAATGGACTGAACAAAACACTTAAACAATACATCTTCTGCACCTTTTCCGACTCCAGAAGCAGCCCGAATATAAGGAAGCTCATGAATTCCTAGTATGGCCACAGACAGGCAAGGTGATACACCCCAGAGACGACGATTTATCCTCACACTAGCATTCATTATAAATTAAGAAAAGAAGAGGTTTACCCTGTGGGAGATACTTCGTTACTACCGAACGAACTTGGGGTTGAGGTTCGCAGAAAGTACAACAGAAGAGTACCGAAGTTAACAGTTCACAAAACCACTTGACTCTCTACATTTCAAGCTCAATTTACATTCTTAATAGTACTATCGTTGTTCCCACAGCCATTCGCACTCTCCTTAGTGCTACTTAAAGTAATTTGTACTCACCCAATGTATTTATTATATAGCTTTATGCAAACCCTACCAATCACGTTCAGATTATACATAACTAGCAATTGTTCCCCTTGGGGTTTCACGCTTACGTGTATGCCAGTAACGACCATCATAGTTATTAGGAAGCAGAAACCACTTATGTTAGAGAGTACACCCTAATACTCACACGTAAATCATGTTTACCTTCGGTGTACTTTTGCGAGGCTATAGATTATTTGTTGCTATAAAAAGTCAACAGGACCTCTATATGCGAGTCTTTGCATCTCGCTTTCTTCCACGAAATTTAAAAAAAAACTCATTCAAAACGTTGAAAATCTTTACGGGGGTTCGCCAATTCTGGGAGGTTCTCTCGACTTACACTTACAATCAGCTAGTAACAGTAGGTCGATTCATTTGTCTTGCATTTACTCTCGGTTCCCTCAATATTATTAATTGGAGCTACAAGACTTCCAGCCTGTCAAACAGGCGTGCTACCAATCACAGCGTACGCCCCTGGGAATACATATCCAAATATAAATAGGCACGTTGAGGACCGCCAAGTCTAAACGAAGAGGAATTAGTAGGGGGCCTAAACTCCTGATCCAGAAGCCGGAAGACTTGCTCTAGTCCGCTTTCTGGTAGATTTTCGTGTATATTGCTTGACCTCCAGTCATCTGATCAGTGTCCACTTAGCTTGATTTTTGTGTGCGTAAACGCGTGGGTGTATTTCAGGTGACAATGAGCTCACGTTCATCTTTTGCAGTACCAAAACCTAAAAATCTCGTTGACCATAAATTGTGAATTAAAAAGACCTTCAGAATTTAAGAGATGAATCTGAGCTTGTGCCTACAGCACCTAAAAGTACTGTGCAATGTAAAAGGTGTGCCTTATGGGAAGGCATGTGCTAAGTAAGACGTTGCTTTTAATAATATAGGAACCTTCGAATTCAACATCAGACTCTTGTTAGAAATAGCAAAAAGGGAAGATGGGGACGTGTGGGGGGCGGGCGGCAAGAGGGATGGGTAT